CTCTCTGCCAAGAGCCTTTCATATTTCAAGACATTCCTGGCCATCCTCTTATTATCTGGGCCTGGAAGAAATCAGAGCAGGGAATATAAAATAGGGATTAACAAACACTGGCAGCAGGGAGTGCCACCAAGGTTTCCTCCAGCTTCACTGCTGCACAAGATGGGCAACTGGATCTCCTGAATAACTCCTCATGTCAACGCACAGGAGGACAAAAGGCCCTCACTCCCAGAAGAGTACCTGGTATTTTTTTTTTAAGTACCTGTTTTTTTTTTTTAAGTACCCAAAGCCCTTTGCACCTTTGAAGACGCAAAGGTGCAAAGGGCTTTAGGAAGCAAAGTAGAACTTAAAACTCTTAGGCCAAGGGATCATGAGGATGGCTGCTCTGGGACAGTGTGATGGTATATATGGGGAAGATGAAGCTTCATTCATTCATTCATTGATTCTTTCACCCATCCATTCAGTAAATCTTCAATGAACATCTACTATGTACCAGATACTGTGCTACAGGCTGACCTCCCAGAATTTAGAGTCTAATGGAGAAAAAGGACATTAAAATATCACTTACAACAAAATATGATAAGTGCAATGAAAGAGAAGTCCAGAAAGCCAAAGCGTATTGCAAAAGGACCCAACCTATTCTTCCCCAGAGAATTGGAAGCTAATTCATTCCTGGCTCCACTAGATCTTTCAAATCTCCTAACTGGCCTAGACCCAGAACAAAGAAGTATGGGGCAGAGGGACTCTAGACTTTGGCTCTAGACTGGATTCCCACAGGGCCCTTGGGAAACCCAATAAATCTTGTGTCTTGTTCATGCCCACCTGTCTGTACCCACTTTGGCTGCAAGACACCCCATGCATTGGCAGAGCTACCCGTGGCCTGCTGGTCTCTTTGCATGACTCTCAATGCATCTCAGAAGGAGATGCTGAATTGTTCTAAGGCTCCCAAAGCATCTTTCTCTGAGGAACCCAGTGTGCTTCTAACCACAAGCATCACCCTGGCAAAAGAGGAAAGGAAGGAGCAGAAATTACCATTCTGTTTTAATAAGAGAAGAAATGAAGTTTTGGAGAATGGAAATTATTAGCCCAAACCCCAGTGAAAATATTGCAAAGCCAGAAATAAAACTGGGAATCTCAATTTGCCATGTTCTATTATCCACCTATAAAAGCACACAATTTGGGTGGATAGCAAAAAATTTAATAGATCAAGTGCAAAGAAATAAAGAAGGTTTGGATTATAATTTTGTTTGTACCACTAATTACTCAAGTGTTTGTAGATATACAGCTACTTCCTTATCCTATTGTTTGCTAAATTATCAGAAGGGAGTAATGTTACTAAATTGATTCATTAAAAAGTTATGTATA